ACAAAAAATACGCACTGAAACCGTACGGGTAGCTGTTCAGGCCCCTCTAGTATTTTGTAGAATGGCACGACCTGTCCGAAATACCCAATGATTGCTGGCCTGGGACTGATTTTGCTTCCTGCGAAAATCTTAACGCTATTCTCACCCCAAACCCTAAACCCTCAAGCCTGAACTCTAAGCCCCTGAACCCTGAACCCCCGAACCCAGAAGCCTTTAACCCGGGATCTTCCGCTAAACTCCTCAACCCTCAAGAAATCCGACACCTCTACCCCCCTAAACCCTAAATCCTAAACCCTAAACCCCTAAATCCTTGAATCCTAAACCCCAAACCCCTAAATCCCTAAACCCTAAATCCCGAAGCTCCCTGCCCCGCTGAAACACCAAACCCCCCCCCTTCCTGGACCCTCAACCCGTTTCAGAACACGTCTGGAATCCTCACAACGAACCCTAAACCCTAAACCCCAAACCCTAGGCCCTAAACCCTAAACCCTAGGCCCTAAACTTAGCGAGGGCTCGATAGTGCGCATGAAGCAGAGCCCGAGCGGTGTCTGCTGAGGCCAGGCAGAGCCCGAGCAGCTGTGCTGCGAGCGGCCTTACGAGTTGCTTTGCAAATTGCCTCCTGCTGCTGGAGGGTTAAGCCTCCAGCTGGGCCTGGAACAGACGCTTTGCAATAGGGCCTTGGCCATACCACCAAGTGAGGTAAGCTGCTTATATAGTAATATAGTGTGCCCGGCAAGCACACCTCTATTAAAAGCTAATACCCTTAAGCCCAGACCATTTGCCAGCGAGCCGCGGTAACGGGTTTGTTTGGTGGTCGGGGGGGTACCCCCAGGCGCCTAAGCCCAGCACAGCGCCGTGTCCCGGCCATCAGCCGCCAGTGCCGGAGCCATTGCTGTGACGGCCCGCGTGGTTCCCCACAAGGGAGAGGATCTGCGGCCATTTGTGGTTCCCCACAAGTCGGGAGCACCCCCGCCAGAGCACCCAGCACCCACCAGAGCAGTCTTTGAAGGCCCCACCAAAGCCCCTCACAGCACGTTGCGCTGGCAGGGAGCCACGACCGCCGCAGTCAGTGCTGTGATGGGCCCGGGCCCCTCTGCATAAGGGCGCTTCGTCGTCCTTCTCAGTGAAGGACCAACCGGCCCAGGTGATGTGCCTGGGCCATGAAAGGGACCCCACTGTCCGTGTGCACGGCCGGTTCGGGCTGCCCCCACTGCCCGTCCGGACGGCACTCCCCTATCTTTGCCTTCTTAATGAAGGAGGACCCCACTCTCCGTACGGACGGCCGGTTCGGGCGGCCCCCTGACGGCGCTACCTACTTTGCCTTCTTAATGAAAAGGACCCCGCTGTCCGTACGGACGGCCGGTTCGGGCGGCCCCCTGCCCGTGCAGACGGCGCTCCCTTATCTTTGCCTTCTTAATGAAGGTGACCACCACTGCCCGTACGGACGGCCGGTTCGGGTGCCCCCCACTGCCCGTACGGACGGCGCCGTGCGGACGGCGCTCTCCTATCTTTGCTTTCTTAATGAAGGAGGCGCTCCCTTGTCTTTGCCTTCTTAATGAAGGAGGACCTCACTGTCCGTGTGGAAAGTTCGGGCGCCTCCCTGCCCGTACGGACGGCGCTCCCTTCTCTTTGCCTTCTTAATGAAGGAGACGGCGGTTCGGGCGGTTCCCACTGCCCGTACGGACGGCGGCGCTCCCCTATCTTTGCCTTCTTAATGAAGGGAACCCCACTCTCCGTACGGACGGCCGGTTCGGGCGGTCCCCTGACGGCGCTACCTACTTTGCCTTCTTAATGAAAAGGACCCCGCTGTCCGTACGGACGGCCGGTTCGGGCGGCCCCCTGCCCGTACGGACGGCGCTCCCTTATCTTTGCCTTCTTAATGAAGGTGACCACCACTGCCCGTACGGACGGCCGGTTCGGGCGCCCCCCACTGCCCGTACGGACGGCGCCGTGCGGACGGCGCTCTCCTATCTTTGCTTTCTTAATGAAGGAGGCGCTCCCTTGTCTTTGCCTTCTTAATGAAGGAGGACCTCACTGTCCGTGTGGAAAGTTCGGGCGCCTCCCTGCCCGTACGGACGGCGCTCCCTTCTCTTTGCCTTCTTAATGAAGGAGACCACCACTGCCCGTACGGACGGCGGTTCGGGCGGTTCCCACTGCCCGTACGGACGGCGGCGCTCCCCTATCTTTGCCTTCTTAATGAAGGAGGACCCCACTCTCCGTACGGACGGCCGGTTCGGGCGGCCCCCTGACGGCGCTACCTACTTTGCCTTCTTAATGAAAAGGACCCCGCTGTCCGTACGGACGGCCGGTTCGGGCGGCCCCCTGCCCGTGCAGACGGCGCTCCCTTATCTTTGCCTTCTTAATGAAGGTGACCACCACTGCCCGTACGGACGGCCGGTTCGGGTGCCCCCCACTGCCCGTACGGACGGCGCCGTGCGGACGGCGCTCTCCTATCTTTGCTTTCTTAATGAAGGAGGCGCTCCCTTGTCTTTGCCTTCTTAATGAAGGAGGACCTCACTGTCCGTGTGGAAAGTTCGGGCGCCTCCCTGCCCGTACGGACGGCGCTCCCTTCTCTTTGCCTTCTTAATGAAGGAGACCACCACTGCCCGTACGGACGGCGGCGCTCCCCTATCTTTGCCTTCTTAATGAAGGAGGACCCCACTCTCCGTACGGACGGCCGGTTCGGGCGGCCCCCTGACGGCGCTACCTACTTTGCCTTCTTAATGAAAAGGACCCCGCTGTCCGTACGGACGGCCGGTTCGGGCGGCCCCCTGCCCGTACGGACGGCGCTCCCTTATCTTTGCCTTCTTAATGAAGGTGACCACCACTGCCCGTACGGACGGCCGGTTCGGGCGCCCCCCACTGCCCGTACGGACGGCGCCGTGCGGACGGCGCTCTCCTATCTTTGCTTTCTTAATGAAGGAGGCGCTCCCTTGTCTTTGCCTTCTTAATGAAGGAGGACCTCACTGTCCGTGTGGAAAGTTCGGGCGCCTCCCTGCCCGTACGGACGGCGCTCCCTTCTCTTTGCCTTCTTAATGAAGGAGACCACCACTGCCCGTACGGACGGCGGTTCGGGCGGGTCCCACTGCCCGTACGGACGGCGCCGTGCGGACGGCGCCCCCTATCTTTGCCTTCTTAATGAAGGAGACACCTTACGTCCAATTTGAACCCATACCTTATCTTTGCCTTCTTAATGAAGGAGGACCCCACTGTCCGTATGGATGGCCCCCACTGCCCGTACGGACGGCGCTCCCCTATCTTTGCCTTCTTAATGAAGGAGGACCCCAACGGACAGGAACCCGAACTATTACTACTGCTACTGCTACTGCTACTACTACTAGTACTACCACTACCACTACTACTACTACTACTACTACTACTACTACTACTACTACTACTACTACTACTACTACTTTATAATTATTGGTATTCTTGCTGCTCCTATTGCTGCTACTACTACTACTAATACTGCTACTGCTACTACTGCTACTACTGCTACTACTGCTACTACTGCTACTACTGCTACTACTGCTACTACTGCTACTACTACTGCTACTACTACTACTACTACCACTACTATTACTCCCAGTCATTCGTTGAGTTGACACTGAACCTTCCGATTACAGGTGCTTTTGGGCTCTTTTCTGCTTGCAATCTTCTGCAGCAATGTCGCGGCAGCTGAAGGCCTTTGCTGTCTGCGAGGGCTGGCACGGCCGCTGCCCCTTCAAAGCAGGAACGGGATCGTCTCCAGACGCTGGGTCAGGGAAGACTTGCGCGTTCTGTTCGGCATCCTCTCTGGCAGCGGCTCTTGCGAGCCGGCGGGGACAGGACGTCACTTCTGCACTGCTGCTCATCAAGGGGAGCAGTGATAGCTTCGAGCTTGCCCTGGAGCGGATCGACCGGTTCGACACACAGGGCAAGTGTCTGCGCCAGGAGTTCGAAGCTCGTGTGGAGCGTGCAGAGCATCGACGCCAGGAGCGGGTATTTCGCCGCCCCGCTGCGGCTGCTGCTGCTGGTGCTGGTGGTGCTGGTGGTGCTGATGCTGCTGCCAGCGGAGCTGAGGATGGTGTCGCTCCAGAAGCTAGCGCTGCTGGCCGCGACCACCTGGCGCTGGAGTCTGACCCCGAGTGAGCCCACAGTCAAGCATGTCCGTGCGTGGCTGTGCTGTAGTGTGTTCGCAGAAAGGTAAACATTGATTATATAGAGTTTTTAAGGGAACACAGCGACCTGCAGTTGTTCCACGCCTGAGCTCTCGGAACAGCATTAGCAAAGAAGCTGTTCGGCTGCGCAAGGCGGCACAAAAATGTGAATACGTGATGCACGATTGCTTTGCTGTTGCCCGCAAACATGACAGCTTGTCAGTGTCGGGGCTTGTCAGAACCATTCGGCTACACCCTGTAGACTCTAAATCTTCTATGTTACATGTACGTGCAGTCCATTGATGTACCTCTAGCTGCAAGGCTTGGCACACTTTTGTGGCGCATATTTACAAAGACTATACAGACGCGCGCACACGCGCACGCGTACGTGCGCAGACTCACAGGCCCACACGGGCAAACCCGACACACTCATATAGACGTGTGCATGAACCTACGTATTCGCTGCCGCCATCTTTCCAGGTTCTCAGACGTAGTGAGTTTGTATCTCGTTAAATTTCGTCTACTGCCATGGGGCGCAAGCTCCTACGAGCATCCGCGGCGAAAGCTGGAAGCTCCAGCAAGAAGGTGAAGAGCGACAATATCCCAAAATACGAACTGTTCCCGAAGAAATCCCTCGCAGCCTACCCTGATGTAGAGGGCAACCCTGTCTACGTTGGCGACAAGGAGGACGCCAAGGAGTTCCTGGACCCTGCCAACTTGCTTTCCACCAGATCGTCGAAGAACGCCGAGATGCTCCTCCGTCCAGGTTGGGGGCTTTCCTTTGCCGCGTCTGCGGCAAACCACTGCGTCCAAGAAGTGGTTCGGCAGAAGGTCAAAGCGCACAAAACAGGTGCTGCGTCCCTAGCCGCCATCCTGAATGAGCCCGCAGGGAAAGCATTCAAAGAAGCGGTGGCCACTTTGGACGTCGGCAAAGATGGTACCGCGGCTCGCAAGGAAGTGACCAAAGCCATGAAAAGCTACCTTGCATTCTTGAAGGAAGGAGGCGAAGACTTGCAAAAGGCCTTGGTGGCCTTAGCGCTCGAAAGTGGCCGCCTGTATTTGGGGGCAATGCATCTGCTAGAGCAGAGGGCCTTCCGGGACGAGGCTGGGCCGGAGGCGCTTACGAGACGACGTCGCTTCAATAAGAAACTACAGCTCTCAAATTCGATTTCATATCTTTCAGTGTTTCCACATCGGACTGTGCCCACTGCTGTTCGACTTCGTGGACCTGCAAAACAACAAGGCCACAGTGCTGTTTCTCTATAATCGTTATATACACTAGAAAGTTTGTGTTAGTCTTGCCGATTGGCTCTCAAGAGAGCTACTCAACGAAAGAAAGCATTGCCTGAAACAGCTGAGGCTGCGGTCACGCCATCGCTTTACGATAGCAACCACAGCTGTCAAATGTCATGACTTGCATCTCCTCAACTACCTTTCTGCCTATAAGAAAACTACAGGCCCACTAAGCCAAACCCGCGTCTGCGCTGGGAAGCCGTGAAGAAAAAATAAGCCCCCCTTGATAGGGGGGTTTGGGGGGTAGAAAACCCTAAACCCTAATTGAGTTGTGTCTGGGTGGGTCTAGGGTGGGAGTCACTTAGCTGTGCTGGAGCGAGCGGCTCGGGGAGATTTACACCCGAGCGAGCGAATACGATGGACACACCCTAAACCCCAAACCCTAGGCCCTAAACCCTAAACCCCAAACCCTAGGCCCTAAACCCTAAACCCTGGCTCGGTTTAGGGTTTGGTGTCGACCTTGGCTCAGCGCCAATCCACCGCGGCGCCGTCTCGGCGCAGTCGTCGCGCCAGAGCACCGCGCGGTTGGAGGCGTAATCTGGGTCCGGATGTCGGGTCAAGTGTTGGTTGGACTTTAAGGTGCCCTTAAAGGCCTCCATTAGGGCTTCGGGTATTAAAGATCATGACTGGGGTTGTTGCCTTACAGGAGGGAACTTAGGGCCTCCAGGCATGAGGGTTTGGGGCTTTAAAGATCATGGACTATAGTGACTGGGGTTGGAAAATAAGGAGACCTGTAGCCAACCGCGCTTCTAACTACATCCCGAGAAACCCTAGGCCATAAACCCTAAACCCCAAACCCGAAAGCCCATTATAGCCTTACTTACTCAGTTTCCAGATCCACCAAGCAGCGGGTGGGAGTTTTACGACTCAGGATAATTTAGCGATATAGGTTTGTAGAAACGTCCTAATCACCTTGAAAGAGCCCGTTCAGTTCAGGGTTTCAGGGTTTAGGTATCTACAAACATCACAAAACCGTCACATTAGAATGGGTGTTGATAGGAGTTTACAAGCTCCATAAAGCCATTCTGACAAGACATGTAGAATCAACCTTCCTATCCAATGCAAACATCTCCCTCGCCATCTGTGCTCGCACCCTTGGGACGTGATCGCCTGCTTGAGGTTTCGTTGAACCTCTGCCCCCGTTTGGGCACCACGAATTGCGCCCCTTGCACTTTAGCACATCATCGGCAAACTTTGAGGATGCGAAAGGACCATCAGCTGCAAAGATTGACAGCACTTCACTTGAAAGGTCCTCGAGGATTCTTCTCAAACCCTTCGCTGCGACAGATTTGAGGGCATGGCTTACAATTTCAGTGCCTTTTATCGAGGCGGGTGGATCACGTGCTATGCAATATTCATCCTAATCGTAAAACCTTTAAGCTATGCAACTTCCATTTTCTCACCCCATGTAGGGGTGTGAAGTTGATTGATATGGGTTCCCAAAGTGGGAGGCCTTGCTGTGGGCTCGAGCATGGCTGTTTACGTGGCTCCCTTCCCATGGTTTCATCCTACGGAATCTTACTCGTGAAATTAAATGTCGCGGGGGAGTGGCGTGGTGACACTCAATTGGAGTGGTATCCACTAAAACTCTTTAAACGCATTTGTAGGGCTTTCAACATTGGGGTTTGCTAGACGTCAGGGAGGGTTCGCTATGCAGTCAGGATGAACTGTGGGAAGATTGCGGTTTTAGCGTTCAACGCTCCAGGGCCATCCGTTTCGGGCTCGGTCTCCGAAGCCCTACACCCGAACTGCTACACCCTGAAGATGAACGTGCCATCAGAAAGTACGAATCGGCTCCCGGAAACCTAGTTTGAAGAGGAGTTTGCTTGAGCACAGACCCTGGCAAGGGACCCAAAACGAATCCACAGTCTTTGGAGTCGACAGGACTTAGGCTCGCTTCAAGTGTTTAACTAGAGGCTTCTCAGTCAGCGTTCTCTTCTTGCTGCCTCAAACCCTCTTCGAAATAAACAGAACAACAACTCTTTAGCAAGCTGTCTACCATCATAGTATATCCCAAACCCCTGTTCTGAATATTGAGACCATTTGAGACCCTCTAGCAAACAGAACCCCTCTACACCCCTCGAGTACGAGTGCCTATAGAATCCTTCTAGAAGGAACCCCTACTCCACTTATTACCATCTAAACCCCGAAAACATACTCATAAAGCCCCCTAGGAATCCTTACCAGAACCCATACGGGACCCCTTCTCTGCTTCTTACGGCCCCAATGTCTAGACCATCTCAACCCCCGTCAACACGCCCTTAAACACTAAAACACAATTTTATTATAGTTATTTTCAACCAAAATAGAACCCTCTTCTAGTTATCTATTTAAAGCCAAAATAGCACCCGATTCTATTTATTGAAAACCAAAAATTTTTACCTTATTCTAGTAATTGAGCCCGCAATTTGCGTTTTCAGCTCCAGGGGGCGGATGGGCCGAAAACTGCCAGCGTTGGGCAGCGAGAGCGCTGGAGAGTGGGTCGGCCAAAGATCCTGCCCAGTTCGGGTGTAGGGCTTATAGGGTCCACCTGAGATTATTTTAAAGGGATCGAGAAGGGTTCCTTTAAAAGGATCTATAGGGTTTTAGGGTTTAGGGTGGATAGGGTTTAGGGTTTATAGGCTTAAGAGTGTAGTGCAGCAGTCTGTAGACGTCATTCCCCTGATCCCTATCCCGTTAAACCCTATCCCTGAAGCCTAAACCCCGACTGCATGAGGATTAATATAGTGGCTTGATAATTAGAATAGGGTTTGGGGCGGTGCGGGCGAAAGCCTGTCGACGAAGAGCGAAACGAAGGACGACATATGCATCCTCAAAGAATACGTAAATACACAGGGTTTTGGGGCCCATTAATATGCATACTGATAATAAGGAACCCACAAAATAGTATTAAGGTAACTATTTAAGGCCCCCTATACTAAACCCCCATAATACCCCTTATAGTAATCCTTATAGACACCTTTAAAAGGAACCCTATGGGTTTTAGAAATTATTTCCCTGAAGTTTGTTACATCAATTTTCCTCACAGTGGGAGCCCTTTAAGACCCCTCTGGGTCTGGGGTCGAGGGCTGGAGGGGCTTTGTATAGGGCTCTCTTTTTTAAGGGTCTCCAGGCGTCAGGACGTTGACGAGACCTTAGGCTCACCTCGAAACTTACCACTCTGCAGCACTGCTGTCAATCACCCAAGCCATTGCACGATAGGGTATCCTGGGGACCGACGGGAGTAGTTGGGGGAGGTTCGAGTCTGAGTTCGGGTTGCCTACTACCAGTACTAGAAGCAGTCTGTATAGGGTATTTTTGAATTCAGGTTCAGGGCTTTGAGGTTTGAGGCCTTAGGTTGTAGTCTGAGTTGGTTAGGCCTTCAAACCCTTCGGGTTCTAGGCACCGGAATGTATGCCCACAGACCCTCGAACCCTCATACTTAGCGCCGTAATAATTGGAGTAGTGTTTTGGTGGAGGTTAGATCAGAACTGTACCAGTTTTTCGGACCGTCATATACTTGTATCGGGGACCTTAATATTCAGAAAAGGGTTCGGTTGTTGGAAATATTAAACGGGAGGGCCCACCAGGTCATATACTTGCTAGACGTTCCCACCCTGAACATACAACATTCACGCCCCGCTGTCCGTCGGCAACGCCCACAGCAGCAGTGCCACCTTATTGTTGGGCTTTGCGGCTCTATGGAGGGAGAATAAAACTTCATGGATGGTGAGGAGAGAATTCCCATCCGTCGTGATTTTGAGGGTCGAAGCACAGTTACAAAAAGCTCGGCGCGCCATGTTTGGGGTGTAGGGTGCATAGAACATAGGGCCCTTAGAGATCAGTTTTGGGGGTAGTATGATAATGTTATAGCTGTGTCTAGAAAAATACGAGGGATATTCTTACCAAACACTCGGGACATGTCACCATTTAGGGACATACCAGCAGTAGAAACAGGGACGGCATGAAAGCAGCAAGAGAAACGCACGGAAAGGAACACGCCAAGACAAGTAGGTGACATCCGGGCAACGGGACAGAACAGCTTCAAGAAACAGGCGACGAGGAACCCGCCGGATGCTTGTGCAAGGCCTACTTGTCCGGTATCATGGGGAACTAAAGGTTAAGCTTTTTGGTTATATAAAGATTATATAGGAACTATACTACCCAAAAAAGGTCAAAGCGCGACGTGGAATAAGCTGCGTCCCCAGCGAAAGGCGTGAGACGAGCTTCGCGAATTTGCGAATTAAGCTCAGAAGTGTTGTGGGAAGCAGGCCGGCAACGGACGAGGTGTGATTTGGGGGATGCGATACGAATATTTCAGGACTCGGACTCCCGGCACTATGATGGATTCAAGAAGGTGTCGAACGTGGGACCCTGAAAGGAGGTTGGGTCGGGATTTCAAAGAGGGAACAACATTGGTAAACCCGTAAGATGACAATGATCGCAGATTTTCGCGGGGATAAGGAGTCAACTTCAAAGAAGCATTAAGGAGATCAAAACATTTCACAAAGGTACCTGCGGCTTGCGTTAATACCTGTGGGGGCAGTCGGGTGGCTTCGGAACGGTTTGGGAGGAAAAAGGTTAAAGGTTGCCTACTCTACTACTAGGAAGAAAGACTGCTATGGTGAATCCTGAAGTGCCTTGCATGCGTCTTGCGACCAGACAAGCCCGAAACTCCCTAACATGGGAAGGCCACGACACCACTGTCCAGGGTTTAGGGTTTGGGTATCTCATGTCTCCTTAACCTTAGACCCTCAATGAAACCGCGACGTTGAAACCCTAATTACACCCTAAACCTAAAACCACCTCCCAAATCCTAAACCGTAAATCCACATGCCAAATCCTTTAAACCGAAAGGACGGGGATTTGCTCCGTCGGGCGGCGTCGGCACCCTTTGCCGCCAATCCTGGGGAGGTAGAACCGCCGCTGAGGGCCTTCTTTTGAACGGGTTTTAGGGTTTACGGTTTAGGGGTTTACGCTTTAGGGGTTTAGGGTTTAGGGTTGAGCCCAAAAAAGCATCTAAACATAAACCCTTCCAGGTGCTGAAAAACCCTTGCTTAGTCTTTAGGGTTTAGGGTCTAGGGTCCTGCAACAGGGGTGTGTCACACTGTGTATAGTTGGCTGCTCCTTTGGGCCCCAATCGCGGGGACACAGAGGGTCATGATGCCGTATGGTTTTGATACTGTTGAAGACGGACTTCAAAGGGTCTTATCAAGGCTGTCTAAGGGTTGCTATCTTTGTCTTTCGGTGTTCAGAGAAGCCTTCTCGGGGTTTCCAGGTGCATGCAAGATATAGCTCCAAACTCCAAACTTCATTGCTCCAAAGGCCATGAGCCGTTTAGGATTCACGGCTTCCTAAGGCTTCGGGTTCAGGGTTCCAGAGTTTAGGGATTGGTCTGGATCAAGGCTTAGGGTCTGCGGTTGTTAGCCAAACACATGAAGCTGCAAGGGCCTGCGGCTTCAGATTCCTCCTACAATGAACCCCAGAAAGTTGGAATATGGGTTTGTTTAGGAGGACTGGTGCTGGGATCCACTGTGCTTTACCTTATGGGCGTGAGGATACTGATGCTGCAAATTTCTGGATTCTGCTATAAAGCCCTCCAGGATCCCTTAAAGGATCCCTCACAGCAACCCCTCAAGGAACCTTTCAAGGATCTCTTAAGGATTCCTTAGGGGCATAGTTCAAGATATAAAGTGAAGACTGCGCTTTCCTTGTTCCGGCGCGGGTCAAACTAAACTAAAGTAGTGTAATCAACGCCCTGGCGCCCTGTAGCCCAAACCCTGGTCCTAACCCCTTAACCCTAAACAATAAACCCTAACACGTAAACAAAACCCTAAACCTGAAATCACAAACCCCAAACCCTAAACCCGAACTCTGGAAGTTCAAAATTTGGGGTTTAGGGCTTAGAATTTAGTGTTCGGGATTTGGGCTTGAAGGTAGGGCTTCGGGTTTGGGGTTTTGGGTTCACAATCCAGGGTTCAGAGTCTAGGGCTCAGGTTTTAGGGCTTTTGCGTCGAAGGCGGAGCTTCCTTAAGAAGCTGCTCATCAGCCTGCTTATCACTACCCACGAAGCAACAGCCCACCCTAAACCCTACTTGGAGGCCTAGGCGACTTGGTAAGCAGGTCATAACAAGTAGGGTGTAGGGTGTCCATCCCTTGGTGCATTGCCGCCTCTCATCTGCGCATCTACCGCCCCTTGTGTGCTCCTGAAGCCCCGCTCTGCCAAAGCGGCACAGCACAATTGGCAGGGCCTGTCGAAAAGTTCATCGCTCCTTGAGGTGTCATGCCCTGCATACCAAACATCGAAATGCTGGCCTCGAAATGCCCTCGGCGCTCGCACGTGTCCGAATCGCAGTCTCCGTGCCATCGCTGGCACCATTAGGGGCGGACGCCTGCTGCGCCCGGAGGAGGGAAGTCCCGCTTCTTCGCTTCGGCCAGTAGTAATTCGCAGCGCTCCATCCGCTCAGGCGGCGGCAGGGGGCCACTAGCGATACTGTGATCGGAGACCATGTCCAATGATGTCACGGCTTTTGCGCAGATCGAGCAAGGGTGTAGGAATCCGCCGAGGCCAAAGGCCTCTGGCGTCTTGATGGTTAATACTAACCAACCCTCTACCTAATCCTTCTCCAACTGCAAACTTCCACCCGTTTTTAGCGACTGTTTTCGACCCCCTTGCCCGGCTTCCGTCCTTTTTTGCTGCCGAATTTGCCTCCCCCCCTCCTGCCCCCCCCTCCCGGGCCCCTTCCCCCCCCCCCCCCCCTTCCCCTCCCCTCCCCCTCCTCCCCTCCCCCCCCCCCTCTCCCCCTCCCTCTCTCTTCTCCCCCTCCGGCCCGTCCTCCCCACCCTTCCGTCTTGTCCTGCCCTCGCGTGTTTTTTCGATTGCCTGCTCGTTTTCTTTCACCTTTTCTTCTCTTTCGGCCTGCCCCCGGCTCCACTGTCTTTTCTTCTTATGTTTCGTTTGCGTCCTTCTTTCCTGCTTCCTCGTTGAAGCTCTCGTTTTGCTGTTTTGTTGCCCCCCCCCCAGCCCTCCTCCCTCCCCGCCCCCCCAGCCCCTTTTCCCACCTCTTGTCTGCACTTCTTTTGGCTTGTTTTCCTTCCTTCCCCCCTCCCCCTCTTGCTGGCCCCTCCTCCGGCCGGCCAGTCCACCCTTCTGTTTTTTCGACCTTTTCTTCTCTTTCGGCCTGCCCCCCACCGAGCCGGCTCCACTGCCTTTTCTTCTTATGTTTCGTTTGCGTGCTTTGGCTCTCCTGCTTCCTCCTTGAAGCTCCGTCGTTTTGCTGTTTTGTTGCCCCTCGCCCCCGCCCCCCCTCAGCCCCTCCTCCCTTTCCCGGCCCCCCTCCCCGTCTTGTCCTGCCCCCCCCCCTCCCCCCTTCCTCCGCCCCCCTTGCTGGCCCACCCTTCCTCCTCCGGCCCCCCCTTCCCAAACCCTCGGTCTTTGTTCGTCGTGCTTGCCACGATAGGCCCATGCCCTGCCGTCGAAAACTGCTGGGTCGAACACTTCCAAGGCGCGTCGTCGGCCAGACCACACGACTCGTCGACTTATCATGCATCACCAGGACCAAGCACTGGCATTGCTTCTGTATCTCATTCCTGCAACCCTTCTGCGCACTTGGGTTTTGCTGCATGTGCTTGCTCTACACTTGCCACACTTCTTCAAGTAGCCCTGGCCCTGCAACTAAATTACACCTGCTTTAAGAGGCCCTTCGCAGTTTGGCCCCTGCTCTGCGCCCCTGCTGGCCCTACTGCAGCCGGCGGCCGAGGCGGGCTGCGTAGCGTTAGAATTAGGATGTAAGGTTTAGGGTGTAGGGTTTAGGATGTAAGGTTTAGGCTAATGGTTTAGGATGTAGGATTTAGGGCAATCCAAGAACCCTAAAGCTTGCCTTGTAGGCCTTAGTCTCACAGAGGAAGTGGTCTGCCAGTGCCGGCAGGGCCTCCGCATGACATACTGGGCCGAGACAAAACCGATTTGGGTTTAGGGCTAAAGGCTGAGGGGTAATGATTTCGGGTTCTGGGTATAGAGTGAAGGGCTTAGGGTTTGGGATATGCAAAGTTTCTGGGTGAATGCAGCCCTTGCTGGGCAGCCGGGGATGTGCAATGAAGGTTCAGAGTGCTAAGCCCTAAACCCCAAACCCAAACCCTAAACCCCTAAACCCTAAACCCCACACCCCTAAACCCTAAGCCCTAAACCTTTGGAGGAACCCTCGACCCTCAAGCCGGAACGCTTTGGCTCAGGGCTCAGGGCCATGGGGATCCAGGTGGCGAGAAGCTCATGCACAGTGCTGGCCCGGGTTTAGGGCTTACAAGTAGTATAGGGTTTAGGGTTTAGGGCTTGGGATTATCAGGGTTTGGGGTTTAGGGTTTAGGGTTAACTGGCGTTTAGGGTTTAGGGACCCTTGCTACAGCCATGGCCGGCGGTGCCGCTAAACACTCAACCCTAAATCCCAGAGCCTGTGAGCTGAGCTTTAAACATTGAGATGCCTCAATGAGCTCCATAGCAATCTGCCAAAGAAGTGGCGATGCGAGACCGTCCTTCGCACAGATAGTCGGCGCAGTGGGCTTGCAGTAATGTGTTTTTTCTTGCATTATTGTAGTTATGAGTATAGTACTCATAGTATTGCATGTAAAGTGAAAAATGAGTTTAGCAGACTGAGGTTTTGAGATTGAGACCACTGCATTTCCCCGTGTGCCATTGCACCAGGCGAAACCATGAACCCCAAGAATAAACCTTGGGGCAGACCCCAAAACAGGAGCGTGTTCAGTCCTCCCACAGAGCAACCAAGTAGGTCCCGGTTTCTTCCCGGTGGAAGTACCTAGGCCGAGACGCGAGGGTGGGCTTGGTTTAAGCTGTTTTGTTGAACCCTCGGTTTAAGCTGTTTAAGGTTTAGGATTCAGGGCTTGTCTAGTTTACTTAGTTTCAAAAATGCTTGAAATGGATTCCAGCTTCAAGCTTGTGACTTTTGGGGCTTACGGCTTCAAGACTTATAGTAAGCATAACGATGAACATTTTGGCGTTGGGTGGTGGAAGATCCCAGGATGAGGGCTCAGGTTTTGGAGTTCGTGCTTCTCTCTCCGAATTCAGTGCTTTGGGGGCCTCTGCTGTTTCAGGACACTAGACCCTAAACCCCTAAACCCCTAAACCCTAAACCCTAAACCCTAACCCTCAACCGTGAAGACCCCAGAGTCGCAGACTGAGGAAGATCCTGGGGGCTGCTATGTAGGAGCCTTCATCATTAGAACAGGGTTTTGGAGTACATAATGGCCGAAATTGTATAGGGACGATAAGGCGCCGTGCAATTATTTACTGAGTAATTCAGACCCGTATATACTAGCATTAGGAATTGCATAGTGCTGTTTCGAGGGAGTTCGAGAGCCTGTGAGGGAACAATAGCATCTTTAAGTATGAACTCAGACCCCTAAATGGTAGCGTTCGTTAGGTTTCGGGATTTGGGGTTTCGGGTGTTCGTAAGCATTCGACGTCCACATTATCGGCATCACCGCCTTAATTTGCCTTTGCTAGCGCTCCTGTAGCCCTTTTGCCTAGTGTCGCTTTACACGCTACTCTGACTGGTGCCCACCGCTATGACCACTGTTATCCTTTAAACCCTAAGCCCTGACCACTAAACCCTAAACCCCTAAACCCTAAAGCCTAAGCCCGAAGACCCAAACCCTAAACCTTACTACAGGAATAAGTAGAATAAGGCGTTGGGGCCCATTACACTATAATCATACTAATCATAATAGGGAACCCCCAAAATAGTCCCTATAGAAACCCTATCGGCCCGAGATGCATGCTGGACTCTTGCAGCTGCCGGGACAGCGCTTCTAGCGCCTCTGGGGATAGCACCTCCACGCGTAGGATCTCGGATTCCGGGTGAGCGTTTAGGGTTTAGGGCTCCGGGCTTAGGGTTTAGGGCGTTGGGTATTGGTGTTTTTGAATGCCCTTTTCCACAGCAGAGAGCCCCAGGAGGTAGGTTGGCACGGTGCCACCTTCAAGTAATGTAGGAACCTGCCCCAAAAAATAATAGGATTCATATAAGGACCCTAATAAAGGCCCCAGGTTTGTTAATCAGGTTCCTACACTACTGGCTATGGGATGCTATGGGTTTTTGAGTTCGTAGGGCTTTTAGGCCTTTCTCCGCTCGCACATGCCGAAGGCCTGCTTTGGGCTTAGAGTTTCGGGTTTAGGGTTTAGAGTTTACGCGCTGGTGTTACTTGAGGTTTATGCTTTGGGGTTCTTTAGGGTTTAAGGTTATTTAGGGTCACGGGAGTGGAAGGTGGTGTCGGTGCCGTGATTTGAATACTGTAAACATGGCCATGAACCCCAAAGAATATGTGTAAACAAATCCTAAAAGAAGCCCTGGCAGAAAAACCTTTAAAGAAATCCTTAAATAAATCCGAAAAGAACCCCTCACAGCAACCCTTAAAAAAATCCTCAAAGAAATCCTTAAAGAAACCCATAAAGGAACCCTTGAAGAAATCCTTAAACAAACCTTTAAAGGAACCCTTAAAGAAATCCTTAAAGAAATCGTTATATAAAGGAGCCCTTAAAGAAACCCGAAAGCTAAGTCCGTCCGTCCTCGTCGAGGAGAGCCTGGCTATGGCCCTTGAGGTGTGGAGCCACCGCCGGGCCTGTTTACGGCTCTTGCGGCTCTTTTTTTGGGGAGGGGGGGGGTTTAGGGTTTAGGGTTCAGGGGTTTAGGGTTTACCTGGCGATCCTAGCGGCCTAAAAAATCCTTCCTGTTGGGAAATTCTGGATTTATGTGATAAAAGAGCGTATTTCGGTTTCTTAAAGGGTTTCTAGGGGAGGGGTAAAGCGGACACTTTTTAGCATGATTGCCTTCGATAGGCATCCGTGAAGCCCCAGACCAGGACCTAGCTATCTTCAATATCGTCCTCACAAAGAACAGATCGTCATATCATACTATCGCAAGATCCAAAAAACTTCCTCAACATGTACTATCGACCCCCGTAAGCTTTTCCCTGTGGGAGCATATACTCTGTCTATGCATACGTAGTTATAAGCCCGATCCTTTGGACCCCTCGATAAACCTATGACCCCTACAGAATCCAGGAGGCGGCAACAATCACCATCTCGCCGCGGCTCAGGGCAGCAGTGCTTCTCTTAAGTTGGGGTTCATAGGGTGTAGGGCAGGCTTTCCTTTGAGCATCTTTTGAGCATCAGCTGGGTTTCCCTACCTTAGTTTCGGGTTGGCAGCTTTCGAATGTGTTAGCATACGTAGCAGTATGACGTCCTACTAGTCGGATAGTACTGCAGATCCGATCAAAACATTTCTCTTGGGCAGACCGAGCCTGCAAGAGCAGCTAGCTCATGGAAATCATGTGCTGGTGCGGGCCATGCTATGGTGGCCAGGAGGTGCGCCCATCCCACCGCCATATCCCTGTTGTGCTTTTTCGTTCGCAAATGCTGTGCATCATGAGCTCGTTTGGTTATAACCTTGGACTTCTGCTTCAGCTTTTTTAAGATCAAGCCACATGACATGGCTCGGGAAATCGAGCAGGTGATTCTGAGTGGGTTGGGTGCTGCTTGGTATGGCAACCCTGAAGTTAAGGATCGACTGTCTTTTGAGGCTCCGTCTTCCTTGATCCTGCCAGCTGCCGGGGAGAAGGTTCCTTTAGAAGGTTCCTTTAGCGAATCAAGAAACAGTGGTTATGAATGATATGTTCGTCGTCCCGATCATCCTTCAGATGCGAGCCGCTAAATCTTTGAAGATTCCTAGCATGGAAACCATCGCAGAGGAGTTAGAGGCCTTGTGGATGAAGTTTCACGAGGCTAGGCAGAAAAAGGCGTACAAAGGACGGTTTCCCAAAATGCCCAGCGACTTTAAGTTGCCGGATCATGTGCAAGCGATTTGCATCACTGACTCCAAGCACATAAAGTCCCTTCTGTCAATGGCGAAGAAACAGTTCCAAAGTGAGAGGGTTGCTCGAGAATCTCAGCTTCATTGATGCAATTGTGGTTTGTCTATTCCCTCACCCCTATTGGGTCTTGCAAATGATTTTGCTTGTATCTCAGGATGAGGATTATCGACGAGTGGTTGCCAATTTCGGCAGCAAGGCACGGGTTGGTGACTTAATTCTGGCTTCGCGGCTTAATGATATCCTTCTCAGGATGAGTATCCCGAGCTCGACACGTCAAGCGCCGATGCCTCTCATGCTGCTCCTTCCCAGATGCCTGATGAAGAGCCCCAGCCTTTGCAAACGGAGCCGAAACCAGCAAGCCGCACAGCTGCCAAGACGAAAGCGAAGAGCCACATTTTCGAGCCCCAGAATGATGACGATGACGATTGTGAAATTATGGGTAGCTCAGATGCTTTGGCAAAGCTGGGAAAACGTGCCCAGATAGCAGCCCAAATTGAACATTTGAAGCTCATGATTCTCGTCAGCTTATTAGGCCATGTTGGCTTTTGTGCGTCCATGTAAGTTTCAAAGGGTTTCGGGAGGATACACTCATCATGAGCATTGTCCCTCAGCTCAGGATTGCGGAGAAGAACAAGAAAGATTCGGCAGGGCTCGCTGCCCTCGACAGTGGCCGCACAGGCCGTCCCCGAATAAAATTGGATTATCAGTTAACCAAAAATCGATCGATCCTCCGATTCAGTAGCTTTTGGTAGTGCTACCTCGACATACCCTAAACCCTATCTAAGTCACCCCTACCAGGCTCGCACATAGACCAGGAGGAGACGCAGGTCACCGAGGATGCTGAAGAAGCTCCTGCCGCCGGGCTTTAGAAGGGCTGTTTGCAGAGGGATGTTCGCTGATTGGCTGCTCTGTGCTTGGATTGGTCTAAGGTTGTTTTACGTATGGATCAGTTGGCCCTGAACCAGAAAAGGAAGGAGATTGCACAAGCCAAAGGTAAGGCCAGCAAAAAAAACAGAAGTTCCTGACGATCTGCCTGATGGAGAAGACGAGGTCCCAGACCCAGAGGAGCCCGAGGAAGAAGAGAAGCCGACGCGGGGTCGAGGCAGAGGTGGAGGGCGGGGAGGCCCCGGAAGCTGGGGGGGCCCCGGAAGCCGGGGGGGCCGTGGAAGCCGGGGTGGCCGGGGAGGGCGGGGAAGCAGGGGCACGGGAGCAATGAAGAGACCAGCTGCAGCTGCTATGCTTTCGCATGAGGAGCCAGAGGAGGAAGATGATGAGGAAGAAAAGGTTAAGACGCCAGTGAAGAGCCCAGTGAACCCAGGAAGCAACCTGAAAGTGAGGTTTACCCCCAGAAAGAAGGCCAAGGCCAAGGCTACCCCAAAGAAGAAAGGCACCCCGAAAAAAGAAGAAGAACAAACCCCCTGGAACTCGGACGGAGGAGTGCATATCTATCCTAAGTGGTGTGCTTCATCTTTGTTTACCTCATGTCGAGCTTGTGAAAATCCCTGCTAGGAGGAACTGGAAATCAAGGCTTTCATTCATGAGTACAACCGTGCCGCGACTGCGACCTACAGAATCATGGCATATTGGACGAGACCAGCATTCGGAGTGTTGGATAGCAATGGAAGCCAAGCAGCTAGGCGAAATAGATTGTAAAATAGGATTGCTAGTATCTTCGTGGGGTCAAGAACAGATGTTCCTCAACTTCTAAAAAGCGCCGTGTCTGCTAAGGTTGCCTACATGGGACCCGGCAAGGCTGACCTCAAGTCTCTGTGGCTTCCCACGAAGCAGCTTGTGCCTTTACCCAAACATCTAGGCTTCTAGAATCCTTTGCATGTGTGGCTTCGTTGTACCGATGTTTGCTTGGGATAGTTGATCTTCAGGCCCTGGACATTCTGGAGGGTGGCCTGGATTTTGATCATGCCTTGAGCAAGTTCGAAGCTGCAAAGCGCTGTCTCCAAGAGATCCCATAGCAGGAGAGAACCCAAGTCGCAACAACCCCCGTAACTAGGTTCCAACATCCATGCCTGCAACCTGTAGAGGGCATTATTTCGAGATAGATAGTTTTTCTGGCTTACGGGACCTCCTGCGGGGATTTTTGACACGAAAGGCTTGCGACCCGATTGATCCCTGCTGTCCTGGAAAAAGTTTTGCTCGATCGCCGCACTGCGAAATCACCGGCATCTGCAGAGCAGGGGCTTTTAAAGAGCATGCATCCCTCAAGAGTAAAATCCCTAAGTACTTATCGGGGGGTCGGGGTTCACGTATCGATAGAGACTCGTATGGTTGTGCATGATCGGTAATTTATAAATTTTGTAGCCTTATACTAGCCCATAATGATTCTGCAACACTTGCGGCTAACCCTCCGGTGCCCTTCAACATCCGCTTGTAACTTTAGTAAAACACAATGACTATGTACATAGGCAGACCCAGGAATCATCTGTGCAACCCAGACAAATCATGTTCCGATTCGCCGAGAGACGTGACAACTAGCAGTCTCAAGCCCCTAGCCCCGCTACGCAGGTCTCTGGATGTCCGACGTGCCGTGCAGCGACGTACTGGTGTCATCTGGAAGCAGAAGACCAAGCAAACCCGAGGCCAGCCAGCCCTGTTTACTGTATGTGTGTTCCAACTTATGAGGGCCTGGTTAGTTTGGTTGAAGTGAGGATGTCTGAGATCTCCTGACACAAACATGTTTCGCATTGTGCTCGGAAGCTGTGTAGCCTGTCTCCGGACCCCGCCTAGAATGTGCCTTATAAACCTTCCAACCCGGAATATTTTCTATGCCTTATATGCAATCCCATAAACCGTTAGACCCCGAACAGATGCCGTATACACAGCTAGTTGCCTCGTGTCGAAAGAGAATACGGTGTGCGAGTTCCCGAAGGTAGCTGTGCGGGTAGGTCGTTGGGTCCCCAGTCTGTTACAGCAACAGAGATGAAGCCGTGGACTTCAGAATCCATGGCCTTGCTCGTCGCCCGCCTCCGTGTGCTCGATGCCCCGAAGGCCTCATGCCAGCAGGAAGGGTTGACTTTAGCAAATATGTACGACCGAGTTCCCAGGCTTTCGAATGACTGCTGCAAGGTCTTCATACTATGTATATTGCTGCTCTTCTGGGCGAAGAATGTTGGGCCTCATTTGGACCGTGACTCTAGGCTTGCACGCTAGTCTTCCAAGAGTTGATTTGTTGCTGTCGCTTTCAGTGTCCTACCTTAAAACCATGCACATTGAGGTCTTTCAATGGGTGGAGTTTTTCAGTGGCTCCGGTATGGCGACTCGATGCATGACTTCCTCCGGGGTGCTGGGATGTCCTCTCGATATCATGCACTACACCGGGCCCTGGAACAAGCAGAACTACCTGGATTTACTGACACCGGCTGGCATGGCGAACCATGATTGCATTATGTAGTTGATTAAGTGGAATAACACAATGCCCCCGACTTTAAGCTTGATCCCAGGCTCGCTACGATCACGATGCTCCAGTGTGTGGAAGATGATTGCATTGCCTGGTTCGGAGTGAAGTGTAGTAGCAGCAGCACCATGAATATGGGCACGAGCAGGCGATCTTTTCTGTTGCCGGAGGGTGACGTTTCCAAAACAAGTGTAGTCGAGTCCAACTGCTTGGTGGCGAGGCAGGACTGTTTGCCAAGGGGGATTGCTGTTGTTCTCCGCAACTAGCTCGAATCCCTGCTGACTCAATTTCCTGGGCAGGAGTGTGCTCCTCATGCTTCTCTGTGTTGCCAGTGGCGGGG